TCTCAGTGTCGCAAAATATTTGAAAAATAAAAAAAAAGTTTTCCTGATGCTAATGATACCAAAAGTATGAAATTTGATGAAAAACTTATGGAATTACTCTCTCGTTAAGTTAGTGATCTCGGCGATATTTACGAAGTGGCGATTTTGCCCATTTTGAGCCTTATTTTTGGCCAGTTCCATTGTTCCAGTCGACCAAACTCATAGCTATTTTTTTAGAACTCCATTTGTTCTATTGATTGAGTACAAGAAACCGCCTATTTACCGATTTCAGCTCCCCAATAAAGTGGTCAGATATTGGCAATTTGGCCAATTTCACGCAAATTAAAAAATATGCCAATTTCAAAATAGGGTCCAGAATGAACAATGCAGACATTCCTGGCACTAAAATAACATTTTCTCTGTTCATCAGCCATGTCTCCAGGCCCCTCTTATATTACTCTCGCTTTCGAGTTTGAATTTTTATTCACACAAAAAATAGAAGATTTACTGTTATGCAGACTACTGCATTAGTGTAATAATTGTATAAATAATGTCAACCCATTTGTGACTGCATATTAGAATGGCTAGTTGGACATTTATTGGGCAATAATGTCATTTGTTTACTCTTGACCATTAGCAAAAATCGAACATTTCCGCTACTTTGAGTAGCATTTCAAGGTCCTTTTCATAGGGAAACCAATCAAAATTATTTCTATTTCTATATGTCTTCCATTCTATCAAGTGAGACCAAGAAAATGAGAATACAACCATAAATACTATACGAAAATACACCTCGAAGTCGGTGTTTTAATCCCAACACACTGTCGGAGTTTTTTTTCTCATTATGCACTGCATGGTGCAGGATTTTTTTTATACTGTGCACACTGACCACACGGACCTATTCTCTCACATGTGGGCCTACCAGCTATCTCCTGCTTGATTTGAAGCCACTAGAATTTTTGAGTATATATACGTCAAACACATTGGCTCGTAAGACGTATATATACGACCAAAACAGTCAAAGGGTTAATCCATCTATGATATTTTTTTCAAAATTATATAATAAACATGATATGTAACATATAAACATGATAAATACATCCCACAGTAGAATAAAGTAACATAAATATGAGATGTAGTAGCCAGGTAACTTGTAGGACTTGTGGTAGCCTGGCGACTTATAGTCCAACATCAGAAAAATGTGTAGACTATAATATTACTGGGGGTAACTAAAAAATTATTCCTTTCATATGCCTTCACTCAGAGCATCATTTCTTCTAAAAATGGTGTTACATGAGAATGGGAGTGGTTTCTCTCTTGTATTTATTCTACTGTATCAACGTGGAGACAACGTGTACACAATGTAAAGTGACAAAAACCAGACATGTTTGCCTGGTTTGTTTACATTACGTGTGGGTGGGGTGGGGCGGGGAGGGCTGCCCTGGCTGGCTACCATACTTACCAAACCTGACTTCCTACAAATAAAACTCACCTCTCACCCTACATTAATACTACAAATATTTTAAGGTAATTAATGTACTGTATATGTATTTTATTGCTCTGGGGCACTTTAATTAAATGTCATAGTATATTATGTGTGGGTGGGGTGGGGTGGGCTGACCTGGCTTGCTACCATACCTCCCAAACCTGACTTCCTATAAATAAAACTCACCTCTCACCGTACATTAACCCTTTCAGGGTCCAAGGCCCAAATCTGGAGTCACGCACCAGTGTCCAAGATATTTCAAAAAAAAAAATTTGTTATTTTTTCTTATGAAATCGTAGAGAATCTTTTTGTGAAGGTAATAAAACAAAAAGTACGAAAATTGGTGGAAAATTGACGAAATTATGCTCTCGCGAATTTTGATGTGTCAGCGATATTTACGAATCGGCGATTTTGCCGACTTTGACTCCCATTTTAGGCCAATTACATTATTCAATCAACCAAATCTTAGCTATTTCACTAGTATTACTTCTATTCTATCGATTGAGCACAAGAAATCGCCAAGTCAACTGTTTCAACTACAAAATAAAGTGATCGGAAATTGTTAATTTGGCCAATTTAACACAAAGTTCAAAATATTCCAATTTCAAAATAGGGTCCAGAATGAACAATGTAGGCATTCCTGGCACTAAAACTAACATTTCCTCTGTTCATTAGTTATGTTTTGAGGCTTTACAAATAAATTCCATTTTGATTTTTTATTCACATAATGAATTTTTATTCACACCAAAAAATAGAAGATTTACTGTTATGCAATACTGTAATAATTGTATAAATATCATCACCATATTTGTGAATGTATATTAGACCCACCAGCTGATGTGTATTAGACGTGTGAGGTTGTTTGTTTACTCTTGAATATCGGCAAAAAATTTAACATTTCCGCTACTTTGAGCTCAGTTTCAAGCCATTTCCAATGCTAAAACCAATCAAAATCATCTCTATTTCTGTATATGTCTTCCATTCTATCAAATGGAACCAAGAAATCGCAAATACAACTATAAAAAACATACGAAAAAACACTGCAAAGTTGCTGTTTTAATCGAAAAATCATGATTTCATTTTTTTTCTCTCATTATGCACAGTGTGCTGCAGGATCTGTTTTATGTGGTGCACACATACCACATAGATGTATTCTCTCATATCTAGGCCCAAATGTACCACTCACAGTTTATCAGAGTGAGCTGAGCTCATGGCGTAGATCTACGGTTTGGACCCTGAACGTAAAGCCGTAGATCTACGGGACGGACCCTGAAAGGGTTAAGACTACAAATATTTTAAGGTAAGTAATGGGTGTACTGTGTGTGTATTTTGCTTTTTATTGTTTTTAATGCTAGTTCTATTGCTAACTTAATATATGTTACTGTAAATTTGTTATCTGACATTTATATGTATGTATAAGTGGAAAAAATGGCATTCTGCTTTCCAGCAGTAGCCTGGAACCTAACCTGTCATATAAATTGGGCCCTACTGTACTCAGCCACAAGACTACCTCACTGGTAATTACCTACATACTCTATATCTAGCACCAACAAATCCTACTAAAGTCTCACTAATAATTAAATAATTAAAAAACAAGGCAGGAGACCTAAATAACTTGCCACCAATCTGGTAAAAAATGCAGCTCATGTGCTGTCCCCCATTATTGCAACACTATTTAATAAATCTGTTCAGTCTTCAACATTCTCAACTATACTGAAGATAGCAAGGGTTACTCTGATCCTCAAAGGAGGCAATCCTACAGAACTAAATAACTACAGACCATTATCTAACTTGCCTTTAATCTCAAAAATCTTCGAAAAAATAATACATAACCAAATCTACTCCTGCTTCCTATCCCATAACATACTGTACCCCTGCCAGTTTGGGTTTAGGCCAAAAAAAGCACAAGTGATGCAATTATTCAGATGCTTGAATTACTATATACAGCACTTGAAAAAACGAATATCCTCTGGGGCTCTTCATATACCTATGGAAAAGCATTTGATACAGTAGACCACAATATCTTGAGCCTAAAACTAGAGCATTATGGGGTCAGAGGACAAATGGCATGACCTCCAATACTCAGCCTGTAATTGTGGGAGTGCCACAGGGAAGTGTCCTAGGTCCTCTACTCTTTCTTTACATCAGTGACCTCCCTTAACCCTTTCAGGGTTGGTGCTGTACTAGTATGGCTAGCACGCCAGGGTTGGTGCCTTACTAGTATGGCTTGCACGCCAGGGTTGGTGCCATACTAGTACGGCTTGCACGCCAGGGTTGGTACCGTACTAGTACTCATAAATTCTAGCGCCTCCAAATCTAGCGAGAGAAAGTTGGTAGGCCTACATATGAAAGAATGGGTCTATGTGGTCAGTGTGCACAGTACGTATAAAAAAAATCCTGCAGCACAGTGCATAATGAGAAAAAACTCCAACCATGTTTTTGGTTTAAAACAGCGACTTTGCAGTGTATTTTCGTATGCTATTTGTGGTTGTATTCTAGCTTTCCTGGTCTCATTTTATAGAATGGAAAACATATTATGGAAATTGAGATGATTTTGATTTGTTTCACAATGAAAAGTACCTTGAAATTGAGCTCAAAGTAGCAAAAATGTTCAATTTTTGCCTAAGTTCAAAGGTAAACAAATCATGCCATGCGTCCAATACAGGTCAACTGGTGAGTCTAATATTCTTTCACAAGTGCACTGATATTATTTATACCATTTCTACATGAATGCAGTAGTCTGCATAACATAAATCTTCTATTTTTTGTGAGAATAAAAATTCAAAGTGGAAAGCAAAAGAAATGTAACAGAGGCCTGGGGACGTGAGTAATGAACAGAGGAAATGTTATTTTAGTGCCAGGAATGTCTGTCTTGTTTATTCTGGATCCTGTTTGGAAATTGGCATCTTTTGAAATTTGTGTGAAATTGGCAAAATTGCCAATTTCTGACCATGTTATTGAATAGTTGAAGTCGGTAAATGGGTGATTTCTTGTGCTCATTCGATAGAAAAAATGGAGTTCTAGCAAAATAGGTATGATTTTTGTCGACTGGTACATAGGAATTGGCCGAAAATAGGGCTCAAAGTGGGCGAAATTGCCGATGCGTAAACATCATCAAGACCGCTAACTTCGCGAGTGCATAATTCTGTAAGTTTTCTATCAAATTTCATACTTTTGGTGTCATTATGACCGGGAAAAGATTCTCTATCATTTCATAAGAAAAAATAATTTTTTTTTTTTTTTGAAAAATTTCCGACCCTGAGAACAAGTTAAGGAGAGGGCCTGCCGACCCTGATAGGGTTAAACCAGTTCTATTTGCAGATGACACCACTTACGTCTTCTCCCACCCAAACCTGGCTATACTTGGTGACACTGTGATAGTGTAAACATACTGTAAAGAAATCAAAAGTGAAAAAGTGTGATTCACTTTATGGCGGTAACCTGGAACCTAACCTGCCATATAAGTGTGGCCTTCTTGTATATACCATCACTAGCTCACTACTGTACATATAGTATATCTGTTTGCATGTTTCAGATGAGTCAGAAGGGAAGATTCGCAGCTGTGTTCTGTTGCTGCGCACAGAACTGTGCCAGTTGACTCCACATCTGGTACATTATGAAACTCTCTCTGATGGATTGTCATTGGTAATTGTATCTGAGGTGAGTTTACTCAAAGTGAAATTTTTGCTCATTTACTGTTTCTCACATTCTGTAGATGAGAGTCCATTGAATAACTCCAGAAATTTTAATACTGGTGTACAAATCAGCCAATCATGTAAGTGGATATCAGTTTTCCATTTAAAGATCCTGGTTTAAGCCTATACCCATCATGCAAGCCAAAAAATAATACTAAATGCTGTCCATACATAGAACCCTGATTTTAAAATGCCTGAATTGTGAACATCCACACTTATACTTAGGGCACTTTGGAACCTATTACTGTATATTATCAGCCATAAGATGGGGGTTATTATTCCTCAAATAATTAGGTTGTTGCTTAACCCCAGGTATAGGATAGAGGGAAAGGATATCTTTTGAGTCATCACAGGTGGGAGTAAATCTGCAACTATTGCCAAACTTTGTGTACCTAAAAATAGTTTGGACAAGTACATTAGTGGAAGTGGTTGAGTATGAGTTTAACCTGCTTAGCATGGGCCAGTAAGCTTACTGCATCACTCTACTAATTTTCTAGTGTTTATACATTAGGGCTAAAATGTTAGGATACTGGAAATAATGTTTATGTACAAATTCAAAGGCACTAAGATTTGTATATTCTCTGCTATCCTACATTTGCATATTATGGGTTTAAATGAGAAGAAACCAAATATGGAAAAACAGTACCTTCTATATGTAAAGTGTGCATCAATTTAGTTTTTAAGCTTGTATTGTGATACATTAACAAGTCACAGGTTATGAGTGCACATGTTCTGGTCCTGAGAGACCACCTGCCTGATTCCGTCCATTTGCAAAATCAGGGTTGAATTGAGAGAAAACAGGATATGTCAATAAAGTAGCTACTGTATATACACCATGCATCAATGTGATTGTGGTAAACAAGTGTACATGGCTTAGCTACAGTCACTTTGCTTTTATATGGGTGCCCCCGCCTCTTAACTGGTGACTGACATAAGAATGTAAATGAGTGCTACAGCAGGCCTACCAGACCATTCTAGGCAGATCCACCTCTCACCCACCCATACCCATTCATAAGAATTAAAGAAAGAACACTACAGCAGGGCTATTTACCAAGCTAGGCAGGTCCAACTCATACCCACTCATGTATTTGTCTAACCTATTTTTAAAGCTATCCAATGTTCTTGTTCCACTGAAAACCAAAAGAAAATATACTACTCACAGAACAGGTGGGGCCTGAACCCACAGCAGGCAAATCCTGAAACTCGTAGGTCAGTGTGTTAACCACTTGGCAGTTGGCTGTATTAAGATTTGTCTAACTAGGTATGGAATTCAGACAAATGTTAAAAACTGATGGATATATATAGTTTGAGAGTAGTGGGTGTATTTGTTAAATATATACATGAAAGGGAAAGTACCTAGGGACTGGCAGAGAGCATGCATAGTAACTTTGTATACAGGAAAAGGGGACATAAAGAACCCATTAAGTATATGGGGTAAAGCGTATGGTGGTATAAACCTTGGTAATAAACACCATGCATCACTCACACTTCACACTCTGTTTATATATACTGTCTTTTAACCTCTGTATGTTAGAAGTGATCAAAGTCTCAGGACGAAATTTTTTCTAAAAAATGTGTCCTATTTTTCCCTTATGGGTTTTTCAAAAACCAATGTGTATATAAAATTTAAATTAATGAAAAAATTTAAAGGGAAATTAGAAAAAGGATTGCAGAGGAAAAAGGGGTGGTTTTAGGAAAAGGGGGGGGGTGTGTAGGCCAAAGTGTTTACTTTGGAGCTACAAGGGATATGTGATTTTCCCCAGGGTTTGTTTAGTGTATTTTAGATTGTAAAAAGGTAAAACGGGGAGTCGGGCAAGGTGTGGTTTAAAAAAGATAAAAAAAAGAAAGTGGGACTTGTTACAACTTTTCTTTACGGTGCCAAGTTTGGGGGAGGTTTTTGGGAAGGGATGAAAAGCAAAAAAAATTATTGAGTAAACATAAAAATGAGAAGAACCGGATGCCCTGGTTTTAAAGGTGAAACAAAGTTTGAAGGGGGATGGGAGAGTTTTCAGTGGAGAGGAAAAAATTTAGAGTTAGAGCTAAAAAGGATTTAAGCTTAAGGGTTGAAGGATAAGATATGGAAAGGAAAAAGGGAGGAACTATAAATGTTTTAAATTTCCCAAGGAAAATTTTGTGGGGGAAAAAATAAAGGTTGGATGTGAAAAGGGGGTTTTATATTTAAGTTTTAAAAGCACCGGGAGAAGAGAGAAGTGTAAGGAGAGAGAGGGATTTTGGGAAATGTTGAGTGAGTGGGGTGGGAGTTTTGAACCAAGGTGGAGTCCCCTTTGTGGGGGGGGTTTTAAAATGCAAAAAGGGGGTTTAAAAATGTTGGGGGAGGGGTATGGGGTAAATTTGGGGTCCCCGGGGAAAGGGTAAATGGGGAGCCTTTAATTGAGCTAAGGAAAAAGAGATTTGGTAAAAATTTAATACTATTTTAGGGAAAAAAGAGGAAAAAATAAATTTTAAAAGGTATGTTTGTAGAAACTTAAAAAAAAAGTATTTGAAAATTTATTATTGGTGGATAAAAGGTTAAGGGGTGGGCCCCAAAATTCCTGTTTTTTAGGGGGGCAACTGAAAATATCTAAATCTTATTTGCCCTTTTGGGCTACAGTTAGGGGTAGGGGGTAGATGGGACAAGGGAAGGTGGCAACAAAAAAGTAGGAAAAAAGGGGAAAAGTGTGTAAAACAAAGGGGAGGAGGAATTTTGGGGTTTGGAATAAAAAGCGACTTTTGGGCAAAAGGTGGGCTAGTGCAAAGAGAAAGTGGGGGGGGGTTTTGAAGGGGGTTGGGATGATTTTTAAAAAATTTGCATTATTAAAAATGGGGCAGAATTTTGGGGCCCTTTTTGGGGGGGGGGGAGGGTGGGGGGGGAGGAAAGAGGAATGATTGGGAAAATTTGATAAAGTAAAGGGTGTGAAAAAGGGAAAAAGTTAGTTTAATGAGGGGTTTTTCCACAACCCAGAAGTTTTATAAGAAGACAGGTAAATAGAGAGATAAAAAAAAAAGGGGGGAAGGGGAAAAGGTGGTGAGAGAGTGCAAAAGGAGAGCAAAATGATAAAGGGGGAGGGGCATTTGTCAAGAATTTTAATGAAAAAAAGAAAAAATTTTGGATTTTTTTAAAACAAGTTAAAAAAGCCGGGGAACAAATGGATTTGTCATTAAAAACAAAATTTGGGGAGTTATTTGATGGGGAGGGGGGATTATTGGGTTAGGGGGCAAATATTTTGAGGAATTTTTAAATTTTTTAAAGGAAGAAAAGGGAGCGGTAATTTCATGCAGGGCCGGGGAGGTATCCCCATTTTTAGGAGTAAAGGGAAAGAGCAGAAGTAAGGGGTGGGGGGGGTTTACTGGGGCTTTACTAGAAAAAAGGGGGGTTTTAAAGCAGCGGGAAAATGAGGGGATCATGACAAAATTTTAAAAAGCAGGAGGGGAAATAGTGTTGGAGTGGTTGGTATTTTTTGGTTTAAATAAATGTATAAAAAAGGGGAAGGAAACCCTGGGGGTTTGGCAGAGGCTTTTTAAAAGCCCCTTTATTTTAAAGGGGAAGGGGGAAAAAAGAGTTTTTAAAAAAAATTTATAAAAGGAAAATAAGTTTATTGAGTATAACAGGAAAAGTGTACATTAGGGTTATTATTGAAAGAATTAGAGGTAAAACAGGGAAAGGGAGGATTGGGAGATGAGCAAAGGGGGTTTTAGAGGGGGAGGGGATGTGTAGATCAAGGTTTACATTGAAGCATATAGTGAAAAAGTAATTTTGATAAAGGGTTGGGGAAATTTTTATTTCTTTTTTGGATTTAGAAAAGGCATTATAAAGTGGATGGGGGGGCAATTTTGGCAATTTTTGCAAGTACAAAATACCTCCGACTTATGACCAAGCTTGGTTCCGCCCCAAAAAAGGGCGTAAGTCAAAATGGACGTAAGTCGGAAACCCTTTGGGGGAAAATTTTCCCACAAACGGGTAGGGGGATTTTTGCAACCTTTCCTATATAAACACCCAATACACTGTAATGCAATTTTACAATTCCCTTATTTCACAATTTTTAACCCTAATTTTTACTTCTATTGTTATATTTTAAAATTTTTTAAAACTGTAATAATTTCTAAAATGGTAGTGAACTGTATTTTTAAATTTTACATCAATACAGTTTTCATATGTTATGTTATCTTTATTTTTGCGACACAAATAGAAGGGGGAAAAACCATGGTTTGTGTCAGCCTGCCGAATGTAGTATAACCCATACCCCAAAAAAGAAAACAAAATCTGGAAAATGTGTAATAAAGTAGCTGGAAAAGGGTGGCGGGTGGGCCGGGTGGGTGGGGGGGGGCCGGTTTGGGGGGGTGGCCCGACTGAAGTGGCGTATCTCTCTCTTATCTCTCTCTCTTCTACAGGTACACCTAAGAAAAATTTTCTACATAGTATAATTTCCTGGGTAACCCAAAAAAATTCCCGGGCAAAATGCTTTCGTGGATTTGTGCTCCGTGCCCTAAATTAATAATAATAATAATAATTATTATTACTTTATTACAATAATACATATGTACTAATATTAATAATATTATTATTAAGCTATAATATAATAATCGTGTCCACTCATTACTTACCTTAACCCTTTGACTGTTTCCGACGTATAAATATGTCTTACGAGCCAATGTTTCTGACGTATTTATATGCACAAATTCTAGCGGCTTCAAATCAAGCGGGAAAGGCCTGGTAGGCCTACATGAGAGAGAATGGGTCTCAGTGGTCGGTGTGCACCCTGTGAAAAAAATCTGGGACCCAGCAGTGCATTGTGGGAACGCCATGTTGTTAGTCCATTTTCACCATGCCTCTCGGTAAGAAGTTCCTCACTCCTCGGCGGATTGGAGGTCTTTTGTTCCCAAGTGATAGCTCTAACAGCGATGAAAATGTCAGTGACAGTGAATTCCAGGGTTTTGAAGTGAGTGTTACCGGAAAAAGTGCCCAGGATAACGTAATTAGTGATGAAAACCCAGATGACCCACAACCTTCCACCTCTGGTGCTGGGCCGGCTTGTTCACGTTCCGTTCGCCTGTACCAGGACGAAAGAGGAAACTATTTGGTCGTGTACAACACCCAGATGTTAGCAGTGATAGTGATTTCAAGGTCATTGAAAGCAGTTCTAGTGACAGTGAGAGTGAATATTCCCCAGTGAAGCAGCAGTATGTATGACGTAGCATGCGGTCTGGTAGTGTTTCATATGTTGTTCCAAGGGGAAGGAGAAACTCTGGGAGCACATCCCGTGGCCCTACACCATGACCTGATAGTGAAGATGACGATATTGTAACGATGGGTATGAATGATGTGAGTGATGGAGCAGGCAGTGGTGGTGATAGTGAGGGTAGCACGGCCCATGTGGCACCATCAGCGGGCCACGCTACTACCCACGCTGCTGACTCTGCACAACAACCAGCCTCACCCTACCCGACACTCGCACAACCTGCACCACCACAACCTGCACAACCACAACCTGCACAACCACAACCACTGTACAATATCCAGACCCCACCAGCAGACCGCATCTGGGATTGGCAGGACGGTGACGAGTTTGTTCCCAGTCCCCATGACTTTGATGAAACACAGAGTGGAATAAAGCCATCTTGTCCACTTGGGAGCAATACCAGTGAACTGGACTGCTTTGAGTTATTCTTCGATGAACCCCTGATGGACATCATTGTCAGGGAAACAAACACATACTGTGATTACACCATGGCAAATACAATTCTCTCACCAAAATCACAGCTACACAAGTGGAAGGAGACAACTGTGGCAGAGATGTACCAGTTTTTTGCCACAATAATGCTTGTGCCACATGTGTATAAGGACACTGTCACCACATACTGGGCAACAGAACGCCTGATTTCAACTCCAGGTTTTAGTGACATTATAGGTGTCAATCGTTTCCTGATACTGTTACGTATGTGCACTTTTCAGAACAAAACCAGGCCTGACAGAAGCGACAGGTTATATAAGATCAGAAATGTGTTTATGTACCTGAAACAAAAGTGCTGCATGTATTTTTATCCCTTCAGGAAGCTTGTTATTGATGAGTCCTTGATTTTATTCAAAGGAAGACTCTCATTCAAGCAATATATACCAAGCAAGAGGAAATGCTTGGGTATAAAGCTATTTGTACTGTGTGATTGCAGAAGTGGTCTAGTTTTGGATATCATTGTGTACACTGGCAGTAATACTTTGAGAGATACCATGAAGTTATTGGGTATCTCTGGTGATGTGGTTCGAACAATGATGGAACCATATCTTGGTAAGGGGCATATGTTACTTACTGATAACTGGTACACAAGCCCCTTACTCAGTGATTTCTTGCGAGTGAACTTGACAGACGTGTGTGGCACAGTGCGTGGTAATCGTAAACATATGCCAAGGTTCGACGCTGGCACTCACAGAGGTGAGGTGCAAGCCTTTGCTGCCAATGACATCATGGCATTTCGGTGGCATGACAAACGTGATGTCACATTGTTGTCATCAGTTCACACAAACGAAATGGTACCCAGTGACAGGGACAACAGAGAGACCAATGAACCCATTCTAAAGCCTGCAGCTGTCATGGACTACAACCTCAATATGCGCTTAGTGGACAAATGTGACATGCAGATTGGGTTTGCAGACTGTGTACGCAAAAGTTATAAGTGGTATATAAAACTTTTTTTCCATCTTGTTGATATCTCTATGCTAAATGCTTATAATATATACAAGTTGAAGACCAACAAAACGCCAAAATATGGTGAATTTTGCCTGTCAGTAATCAGACAAATAATTGCAAAGTACCAAGGAGCAACTCCTGCAATAGACCAGCGCCCACACACGTCATCTCGTTTCAGGCCTGGTGATCACTACCCCATACAACTGCCTCCTACTACTGCCAAGAAAAATGCTCAGAAGAGGTGTTATGTATGTATGCATACCACAAAACGCCCACAAACACACAGAGACACTCATTTTATGTGTGAGGAGTGTGAAGTGCCCCTCTGCATATACCCATGTTTCAAAGAGTTCCACAAGCTGCAGCAGTTCTAGGAACGTGTTTAGTGACTGTACATATGTATATATATTATGGAACAATAGTAATAAACATTGTTTTGTATTGTTTGTTTGTGTAAACAAAGTGTTTACACAAACTAATAGTGATAAAGTTTGTTCTGTTATTGTGTTGTAAACAATGAGTGTATATTGAACAATATATACCTATATTGAACAATGCACCTTACATTGGTCTCACAGGCCACATAAGTTACCTGGAACAGAAAAATATTGAAAAATGCAAGAAACCTTTGAATTAGAGTAAATAAAAGAATACCGGGTGGGCGGCAGTCGCCGCTGTTGCTGTACGCACGTCACTTTCTGCAAACTTTGCGGCTCTATATCTCGGTAAGTACTGATGGCAAAAATTTTTTTTAGGCGTAAAACACTCACAAAAATATTCCTAACATTTTCATAAGAAAAAATAATTTTTTGTTTTCGAATATTTGGCGACATAGAACGACAGTTTCAGAGAGGCGCCTGAAACAGTCAAAGGGTTAAAATATCTGTAGTCTTAATGTAGAGTGAGAGGTGAGTAAACAAGATTAAATGAATAAATGAGAGTGTAGAATGTTCACAAGTTATGTAAACAAACGTTGTTGTTACCAGCCTGGACACGAATGGTTTCTGTTCATTCTGTCAAGCTGACCAGAAAAACATCTCATATTTGTTACTTTATATGTTTATATGTTATGTAGCATGTTTATTATATAATTTTGAAAATAGAAATCATAGATGGATTAAGCAAAATGTCTATATTAACGTTTTATACACATTTAATGCACCTCGGTGATTATTATCATTATTAATATGGCATCTTCAAGACCAATTACACTCTTAATGAGTGGCTCTGAGACAGACAAGCAGACAGAAAGACGGACACAGGTAGACAGAAAGACACACACAGGTAGACAGAAAGACAGACACACAGGTAGACAGAAAGACAGACACACAGACAGAAAGACACACAGGTAGACATAAAGACAGACACACAAGTAGACAGAAAGACAGGTAGACAATGACACACACAGGTAGACAAAGACAGGCACACAGGTAGACAAAGATACACAGGTAGACTCAAAGACAGACACACAGGGAGACAGAAAGACACACACACAGGTAGACATAAAGACAGACACATAAGTAGACAGAAAGATAGACACACAGGTAGACAGACACACAGGTAGACATAAAGACAGACACACAGGTAGACAGAAAGACAGGCACACAGGTAGACAAAGACAGACATGCACAGGTAGACAGAAAGACAGACACACAGGTAGACTTAAAGACACACACAGGTAGACAGAAAGACAGACACACAAGTAGACAGAAAGGCACACAGAGATACAGACAGACACAGATATACAGGCAGACAGATACAGACAGGTTTATGTGCAACACTGAAAACAAATAGAGAGTTGGAGAGTAAGAGCCTTTCTTGCCACAATCTCCAGTGCAAGATTCAGACTTCATCATAGGGGCCATGGTGAAATTTACTGTCCAGTTAGTACAGTTAATACAGTATGATGCTGCAGATAGGGCAGGGTTACTCAAAGTGATGCTGCCTGCATGATGCATTGCCGCCGTGAGTATTGTCAAATATTGTACAGTGGTGTGCATGAGCCGGCCCAGCCCAGCTGCCAGATGCACGGTCGTAAGTCGAGTGGACGTATGTTGAGCAGGTCGTAAGTCGGATGGTAGGTATATATGGAATAGGTGGTAAGTTACTAAATGCTGTAAAGAGTTTTTATGAGGATAGTGAGGCTCAGGTTAGGGTGTGTAGAAGAGAGGGAGACTACTTCCCGGTAAAAGTAGGTCTTAGACAGGGATGTGTAATGTCACCATGGTTGTTTAATATATTTATAGATGGGGTTGTAAAAGAAGTAAATGCTAGGGTGTTCAGGAGAGGGGTGGGATTAAATTATGGGGAATCAAATACAAAATGAGAATTGACACAGTTACTTTTTGCTGATGATACTGTGCTTATGGGAGATTCTAAAGAAAAATTGCAAAGGTTAGTGGATGAGTTTGGGAGTGTGTGTAAAGGTAGAAAGTTGAAAGTGAACATAGAAAAGAGTAATGTGATGAGGGTATCAAATGATTTAGATAAAGAAAAATTGGATATCAAATTGGGGAGGAGGAGTATGGAAGAAGTGAATGTTTTCAGATACTTGGGAGTTGACGTGTTGGCGGATGGATTTATGAAGGATGAGGTTAATCATAGAATAGATGAAGGAAAAAAGGTGAGTGGTGCATTGAGGTATATGTGGAGTCAAAAAACGTTATCTATGGAGGCAAAGAAGGGAATGTATGAAAGTATAGTAGTACCAACACTCTTATATGGGTGTGAAGCTTGGGTTGTGAATGCAGCAGCGAGGAGGCGGTTGGAGGCAGTGGAGATGTCCTGTCCAAGGGCAATGTGTGGTGTAAATATTATGCAGAAAATTCAGTGTGTGGAAATTAGGAGAAGGTGTGGAGTTAATAAAAGTATTAGTCAGAGGGCTGAAGAGGGGTTGTTGAGGTGATTTGGTCATTTAGAGAGAGTGGATCAAAGTATAATGACATGGAGAGCATTTAAATCTGTAGGAGAAGGAAGGCGGGGTAGGGGTCGTTCTCGAAAAGGTTAGAAGGAAGGGGTAAGGGAGGTTTTGTGGGCGAGGGGCTTGGACTTCCAGCAGGCGTACATGAGCATGTTCGATAGGAGTGAATGGAGACGAATGGTATTTGGGATCTGACGATCTATTGGAGTGTGAGCAGGGTAATATTTAGCGAAGGGATTCAGGGAAACCGGTTATTTTTATATAGCCGGACTTGAGTCCTGGAAATGGGAAGTACAATGCCTGCACTCTAAAGGAGGGGTTTTGGGATATTAGCAGTTTGGAGGGGTATGTTGTGTATCTTCATACGTATATGCTTCTAAACTGTTGTGTTCCGAGCACCTCTACAAAAACAGTGATTATGTGTGAGGTGAAAGTGTTGAATGATGATGAAAGCATTTTCTTTTTGGGGATATTCTTTCTTTTTGGGAAACCCTGCCTCGGTGGGAGACGGCCGACTTGTTGAAAAAAAAAAAATAAAAAAAATAAAAAAGGGTAAAGTGATGAGAGTAACAAAAAGATTTAGCAATAGAAGATTGAATAACAGATTAGAGGGAGGGAGTATGAAGGAAGTAAATGTGGCGAGATATTTGGTAGTGGATCTGCCGGCAGATCAGTCTGTGAAGAAGAGGGGATAAAAAGGTTGGTGGTATGTTGAGATATCTGTGGAGACAAAGAGCTTCATCCATGGAGGAAAAAGGAAAAATGTACCAGATTATAGTAGTACCAACAGTGTTTCATGGTTGTGAAGCATGAGTTTTAAATGTTGCAGCAAGGAGGAGGCCGGAGGCAGTGGAGATGTGTTTGAGGGTGTTGTGTGAATATTACACAGAGAATTCAGAGTGTGGAAATTAGTTGTTGGTGTGAAATTATTAACCCTTTCAGGGTCGAGAGGCCCTTTCCTAAACTCATTCTCGGTCAAAAATTTTTAGGAAAAAAAAAGTTATTTTTTTCTTATCAAATGATAGAGAATATTTTTCCATTCATAATGACACCAGAAATATGAAATTTGATGGAAAACTTACGGAGTTATGCTCTTGCAAAGTTAGCGGTCTCGACGATGTTCACGCATCGGCGATTTCACCCACTTGAGCCCTATTTTCGGCCAATTTCAGTGTACAAGTTGACAAAACTCGTATCTATTTTGTTAGAACCCCATTTTCTATATCGAATGAGTACAAGAAACCACCCATTTACCGATTTCAAGTATCCAATAAAGTTGTCAGAAATTGGCAATTTTGCCAATTTCACACAAATTTCAGAAGATGCCAATTTCGAAATAGGGTCCAGAATAAGCAAGACAGACATTCCTGACACTAAAATAACATTTTCTCTGATCATTAGTCATGTCCCCAGGCCCCTCTTCCATCTGTTTTGCTTTCCACTTTGAATTTTTATTCTCACAAAAAATAGAAGATTAACTGTTATGCAGACTATGGCATTAGTGTACAAATGGTGTAGAAATGGTATAAATAATGTCAGTGCACTTGTAGAAGAATATTAGACTCACCAGTTGATGTGTATTGCACCCTTAGCATGATTTGTTTACTTTTGAAATTTGGTAAAAATCGAACATTTCTGCTACTTTGAGCTCAATTTCAAGGTACTTTTCATTGTGAAACCAATCAAAATCATCTCAATTTCTGTAATATGTCTTCCATTCTATAAAATGAGACCAGGAAAACTAGAATACAACCACAAATAGCATACGAAAATACATTGCAAATTCTCTGTTTTAAACCAAAAATGCGGTTGTAGTTTTTTTTTCTCATTATGCACTGTGTGCTGCAGGATTTTTTTATACTGTGCACACTGACCACATAGACCCATTCTTTCATATGTAGGCCTACCAGCTTTCTCTCACTAGATTTGAAGGCGCTAGAATTTAGGCGTTCTAGTGCGTCAATAACCCTGGTGCGTAATCTGTGCTAATACATCATAAACCCTGAAAGGGTTAAAAATATAAATTAGAGGCCTTAAGAGGGGCTGTTGAGGTAGTTTGGGCACTTAGAGAGGTTGTAGTAAAATAGTATTATTAGGAGGGTGTATAAATCTGTAGTGGAGAGGGAGGAGGGTTAGGGGTCATCCCAGGAAAGGAGGAGGGAGGGGGTAAAAGAGGTTTTGTGTGCATGGATGGAGGGAAGGTGGGAGGATAAGGGTTATCACAGGAAGGGTTTGAGGGATAGGGTGAAGGAGACTTTGAGTTCCAGGGACTTGGTGGGTGATTTTTGTGACCAGACGTTTTGTTAGTGTGTGAGCAAGGTAACATTTATGAAGGGATTCAAGGAAACCAGTTACCCAGACTTGAGTTCTGGAAGTGGGAAGTACAGTGCTTGCACTCTGAAGGAGGGGTGAGGATGTTGCAATTTGTAAGTTTGTAGGGCTAGTTGAATTGTGATGTAGGTGTGTTTCTGGAACGGCAGTGATTGAACATCAACGGTAAGTGCATTTTTTTCTTTTTTTTTTTTTTGGGGGGGGTCATCCTGCCTTAGTGGGAAATGGCTGGTGGGTTAAAAAAAAAAGTGGTGTAGGATTTAAAAAAATATAATTCAAAGAGTTGGGAATGGGTTGAGATGGTTTGGGCATTTAGATAGGTTGGAACAGAATTGGATGATCAAGAGGGTGTTAATACATCTGGGGTGCAAGGAGGAGGTCCTGTGTCAGACAACACACCCTACCACTCTTCAAAAGCTTGAACTTAATATACAAAATGCACACTTATTATTATGCCTACTATATATATACAGAACATTAAACTCCAATATCAACTCTCCACTCAAACTTCTCCTAGACAGCTTTAAGAGAACACACAGGCATAACACGAGGCACAAAACACTGTTTTGGCATCCTTTGTGTCCGTCTCTCACTATGCAAAAATGCAATGCACATAACGAGCCCGAAGATCTGGAACTCTGCCCAAAACAGAAAGAGGTCCCCTGCCCACAAATCAGTTTAGGACTATACTCAATCTCATCTCTCAATAACATCCATACCCACACTAGACTAAACTCGAACCAAATTTAAAGCAACTCTCCCAAATATTTTATTATCCTTCAACTATTAAGATGATATTACAAACTTAAAAATGTATGTTTGTATCATAAATTGTACTACTTCATATTAATAATAGAGTAAAATATTGAATATTTATAATCTACCACTCTTCACCTGTGTAGACTTAAGTAGTCTGTAAGTATTAGGTTAAGTCTGCCTGAAATGCCTTGGCATGATAATGGCTTTCTTTGTACCAATCAAATTATGAAATGTAAACACATTGTAACCTTAGCAAAGAAATAAAGTTTTGATTTTGATTTTTTTGAAGTATCATCCAAGGAAGGGGTGGAGTATACCTGGAGTATACCTGGAGTATACCTGGAGTATACCTGGAGTATACCTGGAGAGGGTTTTGGGGGCCAGGCTGTTACTCCTGGCCACACACAAACTGAAGTATGAACCACAGCCCGGCTGGTCAGGTACTGAATTTAGTTGCCTGTCCAGTGCCTTCTTGAAGACAGCCAGGGGTCTTTTGGTAATCCCCCTTATATGTGCTAGGAGGCAGTTGAATAGTCTGGAGCCCCCTGACACTTACTGTGTTGTCTCTCAGTGTACTCGTGGTGCCCCTGATTTCATTGGGGGAATGTTACATCTCTTGTTGAGTCTTTTTCTTTCACAGGGAGTGATTTTTGTGTGCATGTTTGGTACTAATCCCTCTAGGATTTTCCAGGTGTATATTATTGTGTATCTCTCTCACCTGCATTCCAAGGAATACAAATCAAGGGACTTCAACTGTTCCCAGTAATTTAGGTGCTTTATCATATTTATGTGTGCCGTGAAAGTTCTGTGTACATTCTCCAGGTCAGCAATTTTACCTGGATTGAAGGGGGCAGTTAGTGTACAGCAGTATTCCAGCCTAGAGAGAACAAGCGATTTGAAGAGAATCATCATGGGCTTGGCGTCCCTAGTCTTGAAAGTTCTCATTATCCATCCTATCATATTTCTAGCAGATGCGGTAGATACATTGTTGTGGTCTTTGAAGGTGAGATCATCTGACATTATCATTCCCAGGTCCTTCACATTACTTTTTTGCTCTATTGTATGGTTAGAATTTGTTGTATACCCTGATACAGGTTTAATTTCCTCAAGTTTTCCATATCTGAGTAGTTGAAATTTCTCTTCATTGAACTTCATATTGTTTTGAGTGGCCCATTTGAAGATTTGGTTGATGTCCGCTTGGAGTCTTGCGGTGTCTTCAGTGGAGGACACTGTCATGGCAATTTGGGTGTCATCTGCAAAGGATGACATGGAGCTGTGGCTTACATCTCTGTCTATGTCAGATATAAGGATGATGAATAGGATGGGAGCGAGTACTGTGCCTTGTGGAACGGAGCTTTTCACCGTAGCTGCCTCAGACTTTACTCTGTTTACTATTATTTGTGTTCTGTTTGTTAGGAAGTTATAGATCCGTCTACCAAATTTTCCTGTTATTCCTTTATCATGCATTTTGTGTGCTATTACACCATGGTCGCACTTGTCAGAGGCTTTGCAAAGTCTGTGTAAACCCGTGTTGCCCTGGGTTGTGTAATTGATGGGTATCTAGGTGGTTGGCGATCTTGCTTCTTTGAACCCTTTCAAAGATTTTTATGATATAGGATAATAGTGATATTAGTCTGTAGTTCTTTGCAATTGCTCTACTACCACCTTTGTAGAGTGGGGTTATGTCTATTGTTTTTAGTGAGTGTGGGATGACCCCTGTGTCCATGCTCCCTCTCTATAGAATGCTGAAGGCACATGTCAGTGGCTTCTTGCAGTTCTTGATGAACATGGAGTGCCATGAGTTTGGGCCTGGGGCAGAGTGCATGGGCATGTCATTTATTGCCTTTTCAAAGTCTCACCGTACAGAACATTCACACCTACTATTGTGCAATCTACATTTACAAAACCATAACCTCTAATTTTAACCCGGATCTAAAGCAATTTCTTGATAGTTGCAACAGGACCCATAGACATGACACCAGACATAAAAAAAATCTCTATGACATTCCCTGTGTACATAAAAGGGCCTAGAATCTGGAACTCCCTGCCTGAAAACACTAGAACTGCAGATTCAACCACTATTTTCAAAACTACTGTTAAAAAACATCTCATCTTCCTAACACACTCCATCATCAGCTAACCATATGAAAACCACCCAGTTCTTTTTTTTTGTATCGCAAACACATCCAAAACAATATAGACTTACTCTCATTATCTGTAATTCCCCCGTAATTTACACCTACACCCACCCAAGTGACTGTAAACATGCAATTCCTAATATAGCTATTGCCTGTTAAATCTTAAGTTAGTCCTAATAAATCTTAAGTTAGTCCAAAGTTTGTTTAAGACACTCTTCCAGCACGGCTTTAATAGAAACATGCCAAGACAATTCGAATCCCATTACTAAATCTACCATTTGTAATAATATTAAATGATTTGGACTACCAAACTATTTTAAACCTAATTATGTATATACTTAACTGGGAATGTATCTAATTACATACCTAATACAGTAATATGTTCAAATGTACTGCTCAAATGTAACCTATATCAATATAGCATAAGAATTAGTATTAGTCTGCCCGAAGTGCCTAGGCACAATAGCGGCCATCTTTGTCATTAAAATCTTATAACGTGTAAACCACACATTGTTAGCTTTACAAGGAAATAAATATTTGTATTTGTATGGATTGACATGCTGTTAGAGTATAAGCAAGATAACATTTATGAATGGATTCAAGGAAACTAGTTAGCCATGCTAGAGTACTGGAGACGTATGGAGAGTCATATGAATTGTGATGTCTACATACGTCTGGCAAGGCGGCTATTGAATGAATGATGGTGATTTTATTTGGGGGGGGGGGGAGGGGTGATCATATCTTAGTTGCTGATTGCTGATGTGTTAATAACAATAAGCATTCCTTTAAGAAGGCTCATGTTAGTTCTCCTGCCTAACTCAAGGCACTACACACAGTACCAGAACTCCAACATACCATAGTTGACCTGTTTCAAGACTAAAGTCAGGCATTTGTGATTAACCCTTTCAGGGTTTTCGACGTACTAGTATGGCTTACGCACCAGGGTTATTGACATACTAGTATGCCTAAATTCTAGTGCCTTCAAATATTGTGAGAGAAAGCTGTTAGGCCTACATATGAAAGAATGGGTCTATGTGGTCACTGTGCACAGTATAAAAAAATTCCTGCCCATAATGCTCTGCATACAAGGGGCTTTGGCATGTTACACTTAACCACTGCATTTCTTTGTGCTTCTGTGTATCATGTTCAAATAAATAAATAAATAAATAAATAAATAGAAGTTCAAAAGTAAACAAATCATGCGAAGCGTCCAATACACGTCAACTGGTGAGTCTAATATTCTTTTACAAGTGCGCTGATATTATTTATACCATTTCTAAACCATTTCTACACTAATGCAGTAGTCTGCCTAACAGTAAATCTTCTATTTTTTTGGAGAACAAAAATTCAAAGTGGAAAGCAAAAGAGATGTAAGAGGGGTCTGGGATGTGACTAATGAGCAGAGAAAATGTTATTTTAGTGCCAGGAATGTCTGTCTTGTTTATTCTGGACTCTATTTGGAAATTGGCATCTTCTGAAATTTGTGTGAAATTGGCAAAATTGCCAATTTCTGACCACTTTACTGGATAGTTGAAATCGGTGATTGGGTGGTTTCTTGTACTCATTCGATAGAAAAAATAGAGTTCTAGTGAAATAGATATGATTTTTGTTGACTAGTACACTGGAATTGGCAGAAAATAGGGCTCAAATTGGGCGAAATTGCTGATGCGTAAACATCGTCAAGACTGCTAACTTCGCAAGAGCATAATTCCGTAAGTTTTCCATCAAATTTCATACTTTTGGTGTCATTATGATCGGGAAAAGATTCTCTATCATTTCACAAGAATTTTTTTTTTTTTCCAAAAAATTTTCGACCCTGAGAACGAGTCTAGGAGAGGACCTCTCGACACTGAAAGGGTTAAGGTTTAAAGTACTATTTTACGAAGACTGCAGCAGTGGCCATAATGGTGCCATCATATTTCATACTGTCTCTAGCTTTGAGAGAAGTTACTCAGCACTTATCTAAAGTACTACAAATAATTTTTTTTCTTGTCTTTTGTATCTTGTCATTTTTAAATAGTATTCTTGTCATTTTTATTTCAATGAAATCAGTGACATAAAAGTTCTTCCATTTATTAACCCTTAGCCCTTTGAATGTTTTGGTCACATATACGTATACGTCTTACGAGCCACTGTTTTTGACGTATGTACCCTCATAAATTGTAGCGGCTTCAAATCAAGCAGGAGAAAGCTGGTAGGCCCACATGTGAGAGAATGGGTCTGTGTGGTCAGTGTGCACCATATAAAAAAAAAAATCCTGCAGCACGCAGTGCATAATGAGAAAAAAAAATCTCCGACCGTTTTTTAATTAAAATGCCGACTTTGTGGTCTATTTTCGTATAGTATTTATGGTTATATTCTCGTTTTCTTGGTCTCATTTGATAGAATGGAAAACGTATTTTAGAAATAGAGGTGATTTTAATTGGTTTTACTATGAAAAGAACCTTGAAATGGAGCTCAAAGTAGGGGAATTATTTGATTTTTGCCGATGTTCAAAAGTAAACAAATGATGTCATTTTCCAATAAATGTCCAAGTAGCCATTCTAATTTGCAGTCATGAATGGGTTGACATTATTCATACAATTATTACAATATTACAGTAGTCTGCATAACAGTAAATCTTCTATTTTTGTTTGAATAAAAATTCAAAATAGAAAACAAGAGTAATATGAGAGGGGCCTGGAGACATGACTGATGAACAAAGAAAATGTTATTTTAGAGCCAGGAATGTCTGCATTGTTCATTCTGGACCCTATTTTGAAATTGTCATATTTTTTAATTTTTGTGAAATTGGCCAAATTGCAAATTTCTGACCACATTATTGGGTAGTTGTAATCAGTAAATGGGCAGTTTCTTGTACTCAATCGATAGAAAAAATGGGTTTCTAAAGAAATAGCTATGAGTTTGGTCGACTGGAACACTGGAATTAGCCGAAAATAGGGCTAAAAATGGGCGAAATCACCGATTCGTAAATATCGCTGAGGTCGCTAACTTCTCAAGAGCATAATTCCATCAGTTTTCCATCAAATTTTCTTCTTTTGGTGTCATTGCAATCAGGAAAAGATTCTCTATCATTCATAAGAAAAAATATTTTTTTTTTTTGGAAATTTTGCGACACCAAGAGACACCTCAGGATTTAGGGTTGCGACAGTCAAGGGGTTAAACTGTCCAAATGTAGATCTACGTTCACTTGTGTAGTGCTCTAAATATTTTGAATTTTTTTTTGTTTTTTAAAATGAAGAGTGCATTTTTCTACATGTTATTGAATAAAAAAAAATGTTAGGGTCAGTACTTACCGAGATATAAGCCCGTGAAGTTGGCGCTGGACGCTCACCTGACAGCAGCATCGACTCCTCCCACTTGCAAAAGTGTTGCCGATATAAGTACCTTTTTTCCTTGTTTTTATTTTAATTATATATTTTTTATGTTCTGATAATTACAATTTATAATAGTTCTTGTGATTTCGTAGCCAATCTTTGTTCTGACACTAATATTAGGCACTGAAATAGTACTCAAATAGTCACAATCACAATGACAGGTAAACAGTTTCACCTGCCGGGGTCATTTACTATTGTCTAGAAATATATACAAAGTATTTATAGGTCCCAGCAATGTTTTAGACAGCTGGAGCATACCTTGAAGCATGGTGTTATGACAAGTGTCAGTAAACTGCTGACAGGCAGTGACACTTGATGAATGTGCACTCAGGGAACCCTCACTTTATTGGTTTTCACTGTTACAGACAAACATGCCTGTCTGTCTGTCTGTCTGTATCTGTCTGTCTTGCTATGCTTATCTGTCTGTCTAGCTCTGCTTATCTATCTGTCTGTCTAGCTCTGCTTATCTGTCTGTCTAGCTCTGCTTATCTGTGTCTAGCTCTGCTTATCTGTCTGTCTAGCTCTGCTTATCTGTGTCTAGCTCTGCTTATTGCTCTGTCTAGCTCTGCTTATTACTCTGTCTAGCTCTGCTTATCTGTCTAGCTCTGCTTATCTGTCTGTCTAGCTCTGCTTATCTGTCTGTCTAGCTCTGCTTATCTGTCTGTCTAGCTCTGCTTATCTGTCTTTCTGTCTGCCTGTGTGTGTCTGTCTTACCATCTGCTTGTCTCTGTCTCAGGGAGGCTCGTAAAACTGTTGGTTTACAGCTGCTCCCTGAAAATGCACATTGCGTCATGGTTATTGATGTCACTGTGGTTGTTCGACATACAGTGGTACCTTGTGATATGAACAGTTCAAAACTCAAACAATTATGTAAGTGTATTTATGTAAGTGCTTTTGTAAGTGTATTTTTGGGGGTCTGAAATGGATTAATCTAATTTACATTATTCCTTTTGGGAACAGATTCTTTCGGTATCAGCACTCGAACAGCCTTGTGGAATGAATAAAGTTCGTATCCCGAGGTCACCACTGTATTTATAGATGGTGTTGCAAGGGAAGTGAATACAAGGGTCTTGGCAAGAGGTGTGGAGTTAAAAGATAAAATCAAACATAAAGTGGAAGTTGTCACAGTTGCTCTTTGCTGATGACACTGTGCTTTTGGGAGATTCTGAAGAGAAGTTGCAGAGGTTGGTGGCTGAATTTGGTAGAGTATGTAAAAGAAGAAAGTTAAAAGTGAATATAGGAAAGAGTAAGGTGATGAGGATAAAAAGATTAGGTGACAAAAGGTTGGATATCAAATTGGAGGGAGAAAGTATGGAGGAGGTGAATGTTTTCAGATATTTAGGAGTGGACATGTCAGCAGATGGGGTCTATGAAGGATGAGGTGAATCATAGGATTGATGAGGGGAAAAGGGTGAGTAGTGCACTTAGGAGTCTGTGGAGACAAAGAACTTTGTCCATTCAAATTCAAATTCAAATTCAAAGTTTATTCTCTATAAGGATTACAATGCTGAGTTTACAGAATTTGGTTATTGTGTGGTTTACATGTAGTAAAATAATAATTACAGAGTGTACCACTAGAACACTAGCATGGCTAGGCATTTCAGGCAGACTTAAATTAAATCTTAAGTTTAAAATATTACAAAATTATGAGGTAAGTTGGTATTATGGCTAAGTGACTAAATACTAGTTAGTGAGTTTAGCAATGTGAATGCTTTTGTTTTGGCACTACACATAGTTTCAGTATTGGAGTATCACAGGCCAACTTATGACTAGTTAAGATTCATTATTTTGAGATTGAGATTGATATTTCTGTTTATGGTCAAATGGGTGAGTGAGTGTAAGTGTTAACCACCAGGTGGTATTCATGTAATTAGTTGATAGGGTGTATCAGGGAGATAAGATGTTTTCTGATGGTAGTTTTGAAGGTGATGAATGTGTCTGCAGTGTTAGAATTTTCAGGTAGTAGGGTGTTCCAGATTTTAGGGCCTTTGACATACATTGAATTTTTGTAAAGGTTTAGTCGGACACGGGGAATGTCATAGAGATGTTTGTGTCTGGTGTTGTGCCTGTGGGTTCTGTCACAACTATCAAGAAAGCATTTTAGGTCAAGGTTAATATTGGAATTTAAGGTCCTGTAGATGTAGATTGCACAGTAGTAAGTGTGGATGTACTGAACAGGGAGTAAGTTTAGATCTATGAAGAGTGGGGGGGGGTGTTGCCAGGGATGGGATTT